AAGCTTCCTGAAGGAGGGGGATTCAGAGCAGAATCTTAAAGGACAAATAGGAGTTAGGTCAAGAAATGGATGGGAAGGATATTACAGCAAGAGATAAGTGTCATGTGCAGAGGCCCAGTAGACACACAACTGAACAGTGAGAAGGACGCCTGCTGCAAGGCAGGCACTATGCTCAGTGAGGGGCTTACCCACATTCTTTCATTTAATCCTCACAATGTATTTTAAACTCAGCATCCCCATTTTACAGGTATGAAAACTGACAGAGAGGTTAAGTAACTTGCCCCTGGCCACACAAATAGTAAGAGATACCACAGGGATCTGTGGAACCCAGGTCCATGTTAATTTAGAAGCAGACTTCTTAAAAATACTCTTTATCATATTCCACTTTCAGTAAATTTTTCTTTTTTTCGGTATGCGGGCCTCTCGTTGTTGTGGCCTCTCCTGTTGTGGAGCACAGGCTCCAGACGCGCAGGCTCAGCGACCATGGCTCACGGGCCCAGCCGCTCCGCGGCACGTGGGATCTTCCCGGACGGGGGAACGAACCCGTGTCCCCTGCATCGGCAGGTAGACTCTCAACCACCGCACCACCAGGGAAGCCCTCAGTAAATTTTTATGAGCAGGCACTCCTAAATAAATATTAATTCAATCATGCATCAGTTCTCTACACTGTGCTAATATATTATGTATGTATTATAAAACACACACAGAAATAGAAAATTTCAGTTAAAGTTAATGATAGACATTTAAAAAAATTGTCTCGCTAATAATAGTGGCTGAATACTATCATTAGGTAATATCTCAAGGTCTGATATACATTTAGGGCATTAGTGATAAAGAAAACAGACATAAATCCACATTTCAATTTTGATAATTTTAACTGTTAGGAGGCCGAAGTTCTGATCTAATTAGATTATTCTTGTTCATAAGCTCAGAGTGTAGCTAAGGAGGAGCTTGTACTCAGTAAAAGAATGATCTTCAATCCTTGATTTTTTTGTAGTGATCCTTTAGCCACTTGTCCATTTGTGAAAGTAAGTTTAGTTTAAACTGGATAACATATTTCATAAATCCACTTAACCAAGTAAATGGAAACTGTCATATGTTGCCAAAAGCAACAAAGAAACGAGGGCCCCTATTGCCCACTCCTCTGTCAAATCCCACTCTTCCCTCAGAATATCCCACGTACAGATTATGACGTGGGACAGGGTGACAGGCAGGACCGGACAGAGAGGAGCAAAGGAGGAGCAGATAGTAGGACTGTAGTCTTGACTGGGCTCCCCCTATCTGGTGTATTCTTAGGTTTCCATACTTGTGTTATAAGAATCACAGCACTCTTCACCATGATGGGAAATCCCGTGGGAAGTTGGTCCTTTGAAGGGGTTTAGTTGACTAGAAGGACTGATGTTTTACGGTAAGACAATGAAATAACAATGTCACTGCTTTAGGTGCAGCCTCACGGGGATCTTGTATATGTATGGCCAAAACTGTAAAGGTACTTGTATAAACAGAAAGACAAAAACATTCTGTCCTGGCATTCTCAGGACAGGACCAGTTGAATGGCACAATACTTCATGCCATCAGGTAGTGAAATATGGTGCTGTAATCCATTCAGGCAGTAACTATTTGTTGATGTGATAATGTGTTCCAGGCATACGCTAGAGGCAGGGGCTGCAGCTGTCAGCAAGACAGGATCGGTGTCTTCATAGAACATGCGGTCTAGATGCAATACAGATACAGATACAAACATCATAACATAATAGAATTAAGTACTCTTGTGGTATGGGCTTCAGAGGGAAGCAGAGAGACATAGTCTAGTCTGAGAAAGTCAGGGAAGGCTCTCTTGAGAAAGAGATGTTTTAACTGACCTCACCGAAGGATGAGGGTGATGGAGAAGGAGAGGGAAGGGGGCATGTCAATCAGAGAAGATGGCCTTACAGTGGGGATTCTAGTGCAAGAAGGCCGATGTGAGCAGGGGCAGAGACTGGGGAGGACAGGGTTGCAGTGGAAGCTGGGTGCCCGGGAGCAGGGCCTGGGGCTTGTTGAAGAGTTTGAGTTGTATCCCAAGAGCAGTGGGAAGCAGTGAATGTTTTTAAACCTCTGAGAGGTAGGATCAGATTTTCAGTTGTAAAAAGATCATTTTGGCCACATGTATGGAATAGAATGGAGAGGAGAAGGCAGAGTAAGGGGACAGAGGACGTAACCTGAGGGGTGAGTTCTTTCCATTAGATGACAGAATGAACATCAGCAGCTGATGCAGGGCTGTGCTTGGCGAAACAAAACTTTGGCAATAAAGGGAAGACAGACTTCCCACTCTTAATAATTTAAAATTAAGTAACGAGTTTTTTGAAAAGCAGTTTCAATAACTAGTAGATATTCAAGTTCCACACGGCACGTGTGGTTTTCTTGGTTCCTGGGCTGCAGCTCTGAGCGGTGTCGTGTACGGGTTTGTGCTGTTTGCTGGCCGGTCAGCGCCCTTCCTCCCCTGGCTGTTCCTCTTTCACATCTTCCTGGTTTGTCTGCCGGTCTGCTGTTGAAGCAAAGGGTCAGCTGAGGGATGGGCAGGGAGGGGCAGGGAGGCCAAAAGAGGGTGCTTTCCCTCAAAGACTGGTGCTTATTTTGTTTTTACAGGTCAAATCTCAAAGTCAGTATTCAATCCTTGCATGGGATGGGCATGGCTTTTCCCTTCCTGTCAATTCTGGACTCAAACGTGATTTTATTTCTTGTTTCCAAAGCAAAAACACCGTACATTGATCTTTACTCACTATAGGTAATGCACACGAGAGAGGGGTACAGTCCCAAAGAGACACATCATTGATGAAGCCCGCGTGCCGAGTGGATCTCTTCGACGACCCCTGCTACATCAATACGCAGACTCTTCAAAGCACGCTGGGCTCTGCCGGAAATCAAAGTCCAGGTCACCCACTGGGGACCCCATGGTACCGTGAAAGTAAGTGGCTTCTCATTGCCTGTATTAGTTTCCTGTGCTGCTGTAACAAGTTACCACAAACTGGGTGTCTTAAAACAAGAGAAATGCATTCTCTCACCGTTATGGAGGCCAGAAGTCCTAAATCAAGAGGGCAGCAGGGTTGGCTCCGTCTGGAGGCTCTGAAGGAGAAGTGGTTTCATGTTGCTCTCCTAGCTTCTGGTGGCTGCCAGCAGTTCTTGGTGTTCCTTAGCTTGTAGACATGTCACTCCAATCTCTGCCCTCGTCTTCACATGGCCTTACCCCTGTGTCTCAAATCTCCCTCTTCTTTCTCTTATAGGACAACACCTTTCTCTTATAGGTAGGCCCCAAATCCAGGAAGATCTCCTCTCATGATCCTTAACTTAATTACATTTGCAAAGACCCTTTTTCCAAATTAGGTCACATATGCAGGTACCAGGGATCAGGACTTGAGCATATCTTTTGGGGGCCACTGTTCAACTCACTATACTGTCTCTCATTTTAAAGAACGCTATTTCCTTGGCCTCATTTTTCAGAGAGTTAAAAGTATTCTTTCTTACCTCAATCCCTCACCACAGTTAATAAAGGTTAGAACTTTGTGGCGATGTTATGGATTTCAAGGTTTTGGAACTTTGATTTTGAATAATCTTTTCAAACACTTTAAATTGACTCCCAACTTTTGCTTTCTGCTGTGTGCTTTTGCTGAAGGAAGGGCTTTCAAAGCCAGGAGATAATTTTGAATTTGTTTGTTTGCATGGGGAACAATGGCCACTGTTCCCACTCTGTTTAGTGATGGTGTTAATTTTATTCATTTCAAAATCCCTTAGTAAGTCATCTATAGCACTAAAATAAGGTGACTTCTTTCTTCAACTAGGTACTGTGAGTAAAATACAGTAAGACAAACATCATTTTCCTGCCAGATTGCTTCCAGCGGTAAGTCCATAAACAGGAACATAAATAAATAAAAGCAAAACAAGCCAAAAGCCTACAATCAACTAAAAAATCAATTAAAAAATGCTTTTCGTAAAGTACTGAAGCTTGTTGGGTTCAGAGATTGGTGTCAGATTTGGCTCACTCCGAAGATAGAGAATCAGTCGCTGAGAAAGTCCTTTCACTAGCCCAGGAGGTCACTCTAGACTGCCAAGGGTGACTTTCCAGCTAGTGTGGCTGCAGTGACAATAAAGTTTGGAAGGAGATTTTGCTGAGGCTGAGCTTCACTTGACCACCTTAACTCTCTAGACTGAGACAAAGGTTTTCATTACCAGCCAGGTGGCAAGTAGGCCATCTTCTTGCAAGCTTTCCAAGATCACTCTTGGCAACCAAACAACCCAGTTGGGTTCTCTAGAAGCAGACTCTGAGTTGGAGCTGGGCATGCAGGGTCTTTATTGGGATCAGTACCAGGAAGGGAGGGGAAGAAAGCAGACTTGGGCAGAGGGAGAGGTGGAGCAACCATGCAGGCCTGACAAAGCCTCAGCCAACCCTACAGAGAGCATGTGGGGGCCCGTCAGAGTTGCCCCACATTGGGCCCAAGGGCAGGGCCTTTTAGCCCCATTTATCTCAGTCTTTGGATGTGGGCCATGAAGGAGGGCAAGCCATTGGACAAGCAGCTCTCTGCAGCTGAGGCAGACCCTGAAGGGGTGGTCAGCTGGAGACCAGCCCCAGTAAAGCACCTGGGGTACTTGGTCATTCCTTGAAGTGGGATCTGGGTAGTGCATCTCCATGTCCACCACAGAGAGCATCTTGTGCCATGGATGATGGGATATGCAATGAATTCAGATTTCTGCAGTGAATTTAACTGTTTAATGTAGAGTAGCCTGTGTGGATAAGGTAAAATATGTTAGAGGGACAGTGTTTTGAAAAAAAGTTTCTGGACCCCAGGGGGTTTTTTTGTTTGTTTGTTTTTTAGGATAAATAATTGTATTTATTCAAATATAGTTTTTAAAAAAAATCTTTATTGAGGTATAGTGATTTACAGTGTTGTGTTGGTTTCAGGTGTATAGCAAAGTGAATCAGTTATACATATACACATATCCACTCTTCTTATATTCTTTTACCATATAGGCCATTGCAGAGAATTGAGTAGAGTTCCCTGTGCTGTACAGTAGGTCCTTATTAGTTATCTATTTTATATATAGTAGTGTGTATATGTCAGTCCCAATCTCCCAATTTAGTCCCTCCCACCCCGCCTGCCTTGGACCTCAGGTTTTGGAAATAACTTTATAAGAGCATACACTCAATAGCTTCCATTTCATGGACTTTTCAAAGCAACAATCTTTTTTTTTTTTTAAGAAGATGTTGGGGGTAGGAGTTTATTAATTTATTTTTTATTTATTTTTGCTGTGTTGGGTCTTCGTTTCTGTGCGAGGGCTTTCTCTAGTTGGGGCAAGCAGGGGCCACTCTTCATCGCGGTGCGCGGGCCTCTCACTGTCACGGCCTCTCTCGTTGCAGAGCACAGGCTCCAGACGCACAGGCTCAGTAGTTGTGGCTCACGGGCCTAGTCGCTCCGCGGCATGTGGGATCCTCCCAGACCAGGGCTCGAACCTGTGTCCCCTGCATTAGCAGGCAGAGTCTCAACCACTGCGCCACCAGGGAAGCCCCAAAGCAACAATATTTTATTAGAAAATACATTTAGTGGGTGGCCCAAATTATGTAATCTGGGATATTCCTTGATTTACAACTCCAGTTCCTTTATAAGCAAATCTTCAATGTTAAAAATCATTATGGAACTTCCCTGGTGGTGCAGTGGTTGAGAATCTGCCTGCCAGTACAGGGAACATGGGTTTGTGCCCTGGTCTGGGAAGATCCCACGTGCTGCGGAGCAACTAAGCTCATGCACCACAACTGTTGAGCCTGAGAGCCACAACTACTGAAGCCGCACACCTAGAGCCCATGCTCCACAGCAAGAGAAGCCACCACACCGAGAAGGCTGTGCACCGCAACGAAGAGTTTGCCTCTTGTCGTAGACAATTCAATCATATGAAAGGCAAAAGTAATCCATAATAACATTCCTGTCATTAGTTGGAAGCAAATAAGGCTTGTTCTGTCTAAAACTATAATGTCAAAATGTGTTTTCATTGATTCTAGCCTCTTTCTTTTTTCATCCTTTTTCCCTCTCCCTGCCTTGGTGGCAATATGTTTAATAATTTAGGCCTCTGGTTCTCTCTCACTCTTTATTTCCATTTGGGATTTAATGTACCATAGCCCTCCTGGACTTCTTGCTACCCCTTTGAGGTTAATTTCAGTGTATCATTGCTCCCTCCAAAAAAAATTAACTCCAACTCCAAAAGTATAAATAATGTTGATTTAAGAAAATCTAATAAGATGGAGTAGGGATAACTTTATACATAACATTCTGCAGAATGTCTTAAATACACCTTTTAACGTTCCCCCCTAATGTTTCCTCCTGTTTCTTTCCTTCCTCCTGCAAAAATCCTCTTTATCTTCTTTAGGCATACTTAGCCTCCCTTACCCAGATTAGTTACTAATTAGTTCAGTAAAACAAAACAAAAACAAATCCAGAGACATGAACCTAATATATCTCAAGTATGCCTTCAGGGCTCCTCAATTCATCCTGTCACACTGCCAACATAGGAAAAACTCTAACACAATCTTTAGTCTGATCAAACATGGCAGAAGGAAACCATTAGTACTGAAACTAATTTTCGTATTGATTTATTATTAGTTTCAGTCCTAGCTTCCATAACAAAGAAACCCCCCTAAATCCCATAGTGTAAAAAGGACTGAAGTTTATTTATTTTAGCTAATAGCCCAAAGATGGATGGTATAGGACTGGTGGGACAGCTTTGCCATTGTGACACTTGCCTTCCATCTCTGGTCTAAGAGCTTCAATTTGGTCTAAGGTCTTCTATCTTTAGTCTAAGAGCTTGAGCTCTCACCATCACATCTGTATTCAGCCAGTGGGAAGTAAGAAAGGCATGGGGAGTACACACACGTTCCTTTAAAGGACATGACCCAGAAGTGGCAGACATGATTTGTTCTTACCTGCCATTGGCAGAACTTAGACATGGGGCCATACCTAGCTTCATGTTACTCTAGCTGGGTGGCCATGTGCCCAGCTAAAAACTAGGAATTCCATAATGTAATGAAAGGGAGAATAGATATTGGCACACAATTAACTGTCCCTGCCACTGCATACCTTTCTGCCACTCAAATATGCATGAGCTCTTCTTTTCACTTAGAACATATTTGCCTTCTCCCAAAGGGAGACCTTGCAAATACCCCAAACAGTTACAGCATCCAGCCTAAAGTCTGTGACATCCGGGTGATATGAAGTCCTCTCAATCAAGATTGGATGGGGATCCTTACTATTTGCCAAGTTGTCTGCCCTCTTCCACACCCAAAATTAGTGGTGGAAGAGGAATAAGATAGCCTCAATAAAAACCCACATTCACAAAAGGGAAGCAGGCAAAACACACAGTGGTCATTGGTCCATAGTGATTACCAAATCCTGCCAGGCAGTAATTGTGAAGACTCCCTGAGCTGGAAGTGGAGAAAGTGATTTGCTTGGCCTCTGGTTCAGTGTTATGGGAGGAATCTCCTTGTCCATTGTCATCTGGGTTGTTCCTGCTATTATCCTTCGTGTGTCCATCTAAAGTAGATGTTGGAGAAAGTGCCTTTCTTGGGGCTTCACCACTTGTACAGCTTATTTCCTGTTGATGTGGGTTTGAGAGATTGGTGTTTGCTTTAGAGGCCAAAAAGCCATAGACAAGAAGGGATTGTCATTTCTTTGGCAATGTATCTTCCTTAAAAACTTAGTAGGATTTCACTCTGTCCATTTAGAGTCAGTTCTATGTGAAATTCCCCATAATATTCCTTCACTGTCCTTTTATTGCATGAAGAATGCTTTCTCTCTTTCCTGTTATTTGTAGTTTCTGTGTTGTTTTTTCCTTGATCACTGTTCTTTGAGATTTATTAATTTAACTGTTGTTTCCAAAGGACCCAGGTTTTGTTTTAATTTTTTTCTTTTTCTTTTTTGTTTTCTGTTTCATTGACTTCCATTTTTTATCTTGATTATGTCTTCCTTCTACTCTCTTTGGATTAAATTTCCTCCTCTTTATCTAGCTTGTACTATATTTTCTTCTATTGCCTTTATAGTTTTATTTCCAAATAAAATATTTATTTCACTTGAACTTTATATTTTCTATGACGTAGGGGGTCTAACTTAATTTTATCTATGAAAGTGATCTAATTTTCCAAACAACATGGACTAAATAATGTCCTCTTTCTCTAGTGCCACTCTCCATTTTACTAGATTCCTTCTACATGTGTGAATCTGTTCCTGGGCCTTTATTCTGCTTTTTATATTGGCCCACTTGCTTGTTGTATACCAGTATATTAATTACTATGTATGAATTACTGTGGCTTTTTAATATATCTTAATAGACATGTAATTTTTCCTTTGTATTACAGATTAATTGTTTTCTTAGTACCACCTCGATCTTTCACTTAGGCTTAACATTTTATGTTAACATCTTATTTTACCAACTTTTTAGACACTTTATAGAGGTGAATGTATTTTTCCCCTCAATAATGCGATAAATTTCTATTTTATAGTTTTCACACACCCAGTAATCCATACTGATAAATAATATACAGTTGATTCTCATAATTTGTGGGTTCCATATTTGAGAATTTGGTTACTTGCTAAGATTTATTTGTAATCCCAGAATCAGTACTCATGACACGTTTGTGGTCATTTGTGGATATGTGCAAAGCAACAAAAATTTTGTGTCACCCAATGTGCACATTCCCAGCTGAGGTCAAACAAGGCGACACTCTGCTTTCTTGTTTCAGCTCATACTGTAAACAAGTGAACTTTTGTGACACATTTCCCACATTTTTGTGCTACCTCTTGATGACCTTGCTGTTTAAAATGACCGCCAGGTGTAGTGCTGAAGTGCTGTCTAGTGTTCCTAAGTGCAAGAAGGCTGTGATGTGCCTTACAGAGAAAATATGTGTCTTAGATAAGCTGAGTTCAGGCATGAGTTACAGTGCTGTTGGCCATGAGTTTAGTGTTATTAAATCAACAATATATACGAAATAAGGTGTCTTTAAACCCAAACACACATAGAACAAGTTTATGTAGTGATTGACTGATTGATGAAA